GACAGGCTCGCCTCCAGGGAAAAGCCTGCCCTGTTTTCCCAGTAGGACTTCTCACAGCTCAGAAAAATGGGGACCGTCACCTTTACCGGGCAGAAAAATAAAATGTAAACACCTTCCTCGATTTTCATTAAGGCTCTGTGGCCGCACAGAGGTCTGGGTGCCTAGGGGTAAAAAAATAATTCTAATAGGGCCTCAAAATTGTTGGCAGACATTAGCGCTTCTCTGTGAAATATACGTTCCCTGATTCACTCTATCACTTTGCCTTTTGCCAGCACTTACTCTGGCTTGGACTACAGTACTCTATGCGTATGTTCTTAGGTTTCCGATATCCTCCTGTATCCCCACACCCAGGGCCCAGGATAGCGGGTCCGTGACATATGCCTCTACATCCAGTTCATCCCACCCGTCCACATCTTTCCCACCAACTCTCACGGCATCAGATGCTCTGTGATCCACTTGGCCAACTTCAGGTGACCCCTGCCAGCCACAGATAAGAATTAAATGGGAGGGAAACAGAGAGATAACAGCGAGGCGGAAAAAGGAGGCACCATATCCCAAGTTCATGTGCCAGCATGCTTCCGGGGTGAACGTGGCCCTAGAAACTGCTTTCTTTAGCAACCAGTGTTCAGTCCCAGGAGAACCCTGGGTGGGACTTCAGTCCTGCTCCTTCCTGGTCACTTTCGCTCTCATCGACTCTTTCAGGTTTTAGAAGTAACAGTTCCTTTTAGTGATTACAAAAATAGTTCTAGGGGCGCCTGGGTGGCTTAGTCAGTTGAGCGTCTGACCACCTCGGGTCACGATCTCACAGTTGGTGAGTTCGAGCCCCCATCGGGGTCACTGCTGTCAGCGCTCAGCGCGCTTCAGATCCTCTGTCCCCCTCTCTCTGCCCCTCCCCAGCTTGCGGTCTCCCCAACATAAATAAATATTAAAAAACATATATTTATAGTGTCTGCCCTTGAGCACCACAGATTTAGATGCAGCCTCAGAGGCTCCAATCCACGGAATCTTCATCTGGATAACCAGGGCCTCTCGGAACAGATGGTCCGAGCACTGTCACAGTTTACAGATGGAAATATATCGGGGGTGTCGTCTTTCTTCCACAAGACACATTTCCTCAATTAAGGCCAAGGGGAATAACACCAACTGACAATGGAAAATACCACAATTACTAAATATTCTTCCTCTCTATATATTCAGAAGAAAATAGGGATTTTCTCTCCCCGTAACTCCCTCCACAAAAAAGGATGGTTTCCTGTTGTTTTTAAAAAAGGAACTGCACCGCCCGAAGACCCGATGGAAGGAGGGCCACGGCGGGCAGGATGTGCGACTCTCGCCCTGTTCGTTTCCTGCAGGGGGCGGCAGAGCCTGGGCATCACAAAACCATGGCCCCGCCGGGCACGGGGTGGGGGTGGGGGTGGGGGTGGGGGTGCCGCAGCAGGTGCCCAACCCAAAAGTTGCTAAGGCCCAAGCCTGTTCGTTTTAAGAACAGCAAAGCCCAAACATGTTCCGCCAGACCTGTTTCAAACCATCTTCTTAGGAGGAGAAATGCTAAAGACGAGAGAGGTGTAAGCAGGTTCCAGTGAACTTAGCCATTGGCGGCGGAGTGATGCTAGGTTCACTGGCATTCCAAAGAAGCTGAGGGCGGAGGCCCTCACTAGCCATGGGCATTATACTGAGGACAGGGTGGCATTGAAAGGCTAGCAGACTCGGACGCTTGAGTAATCCTTCGTCTCATTTGCTAATGACAATGTCAGGGCGCAAGTAAGGGAGAAATCATAGAAATAAATACCGTACGTACTATGGGAGGGTTGTGATCTCTATAGGACTTTTGCTTAAGCAACCTTAAAAAGACAATCAGGGGCCAAAAAAGGAGATTTAATTTTCATCTATTGGCTATTACTGTATTCAATGTGCTACCAATTCCAGAGAGAGCCCCTGGGCCAAGAACTGGGCTAAAAGCCTTCAAGTCGAAAACTCTCCAACTGCCTTTCCCTCCCTGGCCAAGAGCCCGCGCTCAAAGAAATAATCTCTTCCTTCTCATAAACGGAAGAAAGCACTTTGTTTTCATCTGTTAAAAAAAATTATTAGCTTTTAATAGTTTAGGTAAAAGGAAGAAAACCATGTTCTTGCTGAATGCAATGGCCTCCACCATCCTGGGGATATTGAATTGGGTAGAAAGATCTGCACGGTCACATAAAGAATCTATCTATTTATTTATTTAATTAATAGGCACTCGGGAAACAGGTATTTGTGGAGCAATTTTTTTCTACCAGGCACTGTCTTTTCTACCAGGTCTATAGAAGTGAACAAAATGGATACAGTCCTGTCCCTTATAGGATTTAAAAATCTAATAATTTTTTAAATAAAGTTTATTTATTTATTTAGAGAGAGAGAGAGAGATCGTCAACAGGGGAGGGGCAGAGGAGAGAGAGGGAGAGAGAGACAAATCCCAAACAGGCTCTGTATTGTCAGCTCCACGAACTGTGAGATCATGACCCGAGCCGGAACCAAGAATCGGACACATAACCGACCGAGCCACTCAGGCGCCCATAAAATCTAATAACTTAAGAGAAACTCTGCCAATACCCCCAAATACTTATTTAACAAGAACTCCGATTTTTAAAGAGAATGTATGGTATATCTGAGATAAGAATAACCCTTCCTTTGACAAAGAAAAAACTACAAGGATGATCTGTAAGGGTGAGCTGGGAGAAACAAAGGTGGGACGCGAGGCTGGGCACCTGGCCTGCTGGGAAAACCCAAGGAGGGACAAAGAGAAGGGTCAGTTTTCCAAGTGCCTTCAGAGCTAGCCCGGGGGGGGGGGGGCACACTCATCCTCAGGGGTTTCATTCTGAGAGGCATTACTGCCGGTCTGCAACAGATGCCACCGTCCAGGGCCGTCCAGGGCCCAACCAAACCAGGGAGAGACGTTCTTCCGGGTTCAGTACCCCCGCACTAGCTCACGGGACAGCGTCAGAGCCGGACTTCCGCCCAGCCCGCATCCAGCGGAAGAGGGTTCGCTCTGCCAGTGGCCCACGTTGGAGAAAGAACACGAGGCAGAAGGACCAGGGAGGACACATCCCTGAAACAGGTGCTTGGAGTGGGCTCGAGATGTCCCCATAATACTAGGCCTGAGTATTAAAATCCCTTTGGGCATCTGATGTTTGTTTTTAGAAACGCTCATCTTTAAAGATACTCATCTTCTCCTTTGGTGCCAATTAGCAGAAGCCTCGCAACCCCGGGCGGTTCCCCCCACTCACCTGCCGGTTCAGCCTTATGGACAAGATGTTGCTGGAATAGTTGTAATTACAGATCTCCGTGCCTTTCTTGAAGTGATAGACGTTCATCTGCCGCGGCTTTGTGTGACTGACCACCACGACCAGGCTGCTGGAGAAGAGGCGCTCCACGATGTAGACATCCGGGATTTCGTCTGGGAGGGAAAGGAGGCTGAGGTGACACAGATTTCGGCCTCCGGGCACCGAGCCCAGCTCACACCAGTCAGCCAGCGGCCTGTACGTCTCGCGCGCGTAGATTAGCACACATTCGCAGTGACTGGTTTTTTTCCCCTACAGTGAAGCTTTGCCTGTTTCCCAAGGGAGCGGTTCTGCAGCCCTTTCCAAGACCCGAAGAAAACGTTAGTGACCAGAAGGCAGAGTCAGGTCTTCCAGAGATTTCCCCGGGTGCCTTCCATGGGGCAGAATCGTCTCTAGGGCACCACTGTGTGCTCTGGAAATTATATCGGGAGGTGTGGACAGTCTCGGCCCACCCTTTCTCCACGAGAGGTTTTCAAGGGTTGACTACTCTGGGGAATCCCTGCTTCCGGAATTCTGGTCTTTGTGGCCAGCAGGTGCCATGGGGACAGCCATAGTGGGGTGGGGGCAGTCACAGAATTACATCTGTGCCCCTCCCTGTCTTGCTCCCCTCCCTGGTCCTGTCTGGAATCCCTTTCCTGTTGAAGACAATCTGTGTGATGACCAGGGAAGGGCGGTCTGTGCTCAGGAAGAAGGTCAGTCAGTAAGCCTCCTGAGCTCCCACAGGTAGAGACCTCAGTGGTTTTCTGAGAACATTCTTTCTCGGATGCGTGCCTTCCTTGTGCTTAGGCAGGGCCCATAGGGAATAACATAGGACAGATACAGAGCAAAGTATTCATGAAAATGGCATAATAAAAATAACATCTTACAAATACATTAGCGACCCAATGTGTTCATTTACCAAACCACTTTCTTTCCAGGAAATCCAAAGACTGCATATTCTTCTCCATTATGATGACACAAATTATTACTTACCCTGAGATATTAAGAGAACTAATTTTTGTTGTAATAATCACTAAGAGTACTCCAACATCTTCAATATGATCTATGCAAATGGGATAGCACTGCTTGGTTAAAACAAAGAAAACACTTCCATGACCGAATGAATGTTACCAACATTCTACAGTGCCAGTATGACAGAAAAAAAAAAAAAAAAAAAAAAAAAAAAGACAAACCCATAAGTGACCTTCTGATAGGACAATGATCAAAACTGATGACTGTGCATAAAAGTCTATGAAAAAGTTTAACGACAAGGTTTCAAACAAAGGATTTCTTAATATAAAAAGAAAAGGTTACCTAAGCTATTGCCAAATCTAAGTGCTTACTTGTGGTTTTACTTTTTAAGCCAAGTGGAGGCAATGATTTATATTTAAGTCTGAAAATGACTGACTCCTTCAGTTTGACAGTTACTGGAGAAAAATGCAGACAGCTCAGGAGCACCGCAGATTAAAGTCTAGAGGAAGGATTCGGTGTCCCCGGGATTTCACACACACACTTACTGCTTCCATGGACTTGGTCCAGTTGCTCCACAGAACTCAAAGAAAACAGCTTATAACCGGCTTTGGTTCCAATTGCTAGGGATCTGTGGAAGATAATACCACGTGGGAATGAGGTTCAGAGAGCTGAAACTCATCGAAGGAAAGTCAAACCTCCCAGGGACGGTGCTTTCCCAGCTGGGAAACAGGAAAGACGGAATACATAAGAATACTCATCCTGTACTACTTCCAACACGATCAGGGGTCTTCTGGTTGTCTGAGAGGTACTTTGCCAAGAGGTCAATTTTTTATTTATTTTTGCTTAAAAAATAAACACACGGTCATAGTAGGCACAGTCATTAGTAGGTACAATTTAGTGGATGCTTCCTTTCATCATTTTCCATGAAAACACCGCAGATGCTTTTTACCAGTAGCTCTCATCCTTAGATGTACATTAAATTCACTTGGGAAGTTTTTAAAAAATACTGATGATTGTCTATCGCGGCGCCTCCAACACTGAGCTTTTTATTTGATTTGATTCTTTTCTTTTTTTCTTTTCTTCTCTCTTTTCCTTCCTTCCTTCCTTCCTTCCTTCCTTCCTTCCTTCCTTCCTTCCCCCCTCCCTCCCTCCCTTCCTTCTCTTTGTCTCTCTCTCTTTTTCTTTTTTTAGTTCAAGTACTCTAATGTGCAGCCAGGGTTGAAAACTCTGGTGTATACCACGTTCCACAAAGCTAGTATCACAACCAACCAACAAAACAAAAACTAAACACATCTGGAACGGTATGGGCTAAATAAATCTTGTTTTCTTAATTTTTCACTTTCGACCAATAGATAAAGAAAGACTGTTTCCTTAGCCAGTTTCTTTGGCCACAGGATGAAAGCAGACGAGTCCATTTTGTTCGCAGCTGGGACCCCCATCCAGATCCCTCCCGCTTTGCCCTCAACACCTCAGCGATGAGCAAAATCTCACACAGGGCACACTTAGAAAAAGCGCTCCGACCTGGAGCACCTCCACCCTGGGAAAATGGGATGTCAGAGCCGAAAGAGACCTTAAAATAGTCCTAAGTGGACTAAAAATTAGCCCAGCTTCCTCATTTGAAGCAGGTCTTTGAAAAGGTGAGATCCATTCTGCACAGGGAAGCATATACTAATATAAGCAGTTGACTGGGGCGAGCCTGATGGCCGAGGCTCTTGTTTCATCAGCCTAAAAATAAAAAAGAGGAGGTCATGTGGTTTTCCCTGGAATTGTTTTTTTTCTACCCAAACGTTTGTTGTTCCCCAGGACACAGGGAGAGGAGGCTGCGGTCAACTTTCAATCAGTGAGGTAGCTGCTTGGGTCCCGCAGTCCTCCACCTGCTGGGGGGCTGACCTGAGGGGCGGGACAGGTGCTGGAGCAGCGTCAATGACGACCAACGGCACCTGGAGAGGCGAGAGGCGCGCCCCCGGCATCTTACAAGTTCACAACACGGCCACGCGCAGCCAAGAGAGTGAAACTGGGCTACTGTCTTATACCGCATACAAGTATGAACTCAAAATGGATTAAAGACTTGAACGGAAAACCCGAAGCCATAAAACTCCTAGAAGAAAACATAGGCAGCAAGCTCCTTGACAGGGGTCTTAGCAATGTTTTTTGGCTCTGACTCCAGAGGCAAGGGAAACAAAAGCAAAAACAAACAGGTAGAACTACGTCAAACTAAAAAGCTTCTGCACAGCAAAGGAAACCATCAACAAAATGAAAAAACCCACTGAATGCGAGAAAATATTTGCAAATTGTATGTCCCTTAAAGGGTTAATATCCAAAATATATACTGTATATGGTATAATATAAAATAAGAAAATACATATTATCTTTGAGTACATGTAAAACAAATATATAGAAGTATATGTAATAAATCTGTAAAATATAGATACAATAAATATATATAAACTAAATGTATATAAATATACATAAAATACATATAAATATATTTTATGTAAGGAAAATATAAAACAAATATATAAATATATAAAATAAATATGTAAATATATATTAAGTGCATATAAAATATTTTAAATATATTTTTATAAATATATTTTTATTTATAAAAATATATAAATATATAATACGGTAGGTAATACTGCATTAACTTTGTAGGTATAAAGAAAATATATAATTCATGTAACTCAATAACAAAAAAACAACCTGGTTAAAAATGGAAAAGAATCTGAATTGACAGTTTTCTAAAGCAGCCGTGCAGATAACCAACAGATTCATCAAAAGACATTCGGCATCACCGATCATCAGGGAGATGCAAATCCACTTCACAATGAGATACCACCTTACACCTGTAAGAATGGCTGTTATTAAAAAGATAAGAAATAGCAAGTGTCGGCGAGGATGTGTTGGAAAGGTGATCTTCGTGCACTATGGGTATGAATGCAAACTGGGGCAGCCACGCCAGAAAGCAGCATGAAGATTCCTCAAAAAATTAAAAAGAGAACTACCATATGATCCAGCAATTCCACTTGTGGGTATCTTTCAGAAGAAAAAGTGAAAACACTAACTCGAAAAGATGTACGCGCCCGTATGTTCATTGCCGCGTTATTTACAACAGCCAAGATATGGAAACGACCCAAGTGCCCAGCAGTGGATGAACGGATAAAGAAGACACGGCATGCGTGCACACGTGCACATGGGCGTGTGCACACGCACACACACTCCACTTCTCAGCCATAAAAAAGAACAAAATCTTGCCATTCGCGGCAACATGGATGAGAGCACTGTGCTAAGTGAAATGAGTCAGACAGAGAAAGACAAATATCACATGATTTCACTTATACGTGGAGTCTAAGAAAGACAAAACAAAACAAAACCCAGACTCATAGTTACAGAGAATAGACTGGTGGTTGCCAGATGACAGGGTTTTTTTTTGGGGGGGGGTATGAAATTGGTGAAGGAGATCAGGAAATACAAACTTCCAGTTATAAAATAAATACATCATGGGGACGAACGTAGAGCACAGGAAATACAATAAGTAATATTGCATTAACTGTGTAGGTTGACAGATGGGTTAGCAGGCTTATCGTGGAGATCATTTCCCAATGTATACAAATGTTGAATCACAATAGGTTGTACACTTGAAACAAATATAATGCTGCATGTGTCCATGGCACCTGCACTTTAAAAACCTCCTTTTTGGGGCGCCTGGGTGGCACAGTCGGTTAAGCGTCCGACTTCAGCCAGGTCACGATCTCGCGGTCCGTGAGTTCGAGCCCCGCGTCGGGCTCTGGGCTGATGGCTCGGAGCCTGGAGGCTGTTTCTGATTCTGTGTCTCCCTCTCTCTCTGCCCCTCCCCCGTTCATGCTCTGTCTCTCTCTGTCCCAAAAAATAATAAATAAAAACGTTGGAAAAAAAATTAAACAAAAAAAACAAAACCTCCTTTTTATTCTATGATTCAAAAAACTTTTTTGATATGCCCTGTAGTGATTACTGTCTTTAAACTTTCTTCACATGGACTTTTTCACATAAATATAGACAAGTTTGGCAGCAACTGAGGTTTCTAAAGCTTGTAAGTAAGGGAAAAATGTAATGAGAGTCTTGTGATATTAACCGAAAGATTTGGTAATTTAAAATAATTTTCAGGGATGCCTGGCTGGCTCAGTCGGTGGAGCGTGTGACCCTTGATCTCGGGATCGTGACTGCTAGCCCCACGTTGGGTGTAGAGATTGCTTAAAAATAAAGTCTTTAAAAAATAAAAATAAAAAAAAATTCAAACAGAAGGCCTGCTCCCAGAAGAATTTTATACGTGAAAAAATAGCAGTGTGGTTACTATTGTGTTTTAAATGTTGAGCAATGGCCACAAAGGAGGCTGAATCAAGGAATCCATACTAAAATCCTATTTTTATCCATAAGGGCTTCCTGCAGAAAAAAATAAATAAATTCTCATCACCTCTCACAGGAATAGAGCTTGGGACAAATATGTGCCACCAGTCAAATGAAAAAATGTACCCACAGTGCCTAGCACAGTGCCAAGCATGAAGTATGATCAAAGAAGACTCGTAAAGGTTAGTTGCACTACTGGATTCCAAACTCAGCCTGCACTTACAAAGAAAGACACACTGACACTCCTAAATGCATACGTAAGGGGCTTGACTTATTTTAAAATCCAATGTCATATCCTCTGTGGCTCAAAGCAACTGACTCTGACAAAAACTTTTATTTATAGGTGAGACAGAGCTGTCCAGCAAAGCCTTCATCCAAGAAAACAGAACTGACCATAGAGACGAAGGAAATTAACTTTCCAAGCACCCAACAGCTTTGAAAATAATATTCTTACCCAAGTGCCATAGAAAGCTGGGACTCACCCAGAGTAAAAACTAACCCCACTCAAAAAAAAAAAAAATCTGATACACAACGTTTATAAAGCAGAATTTCGAACATTTACTGTGAACTAGCAAACTGACTCCTTTCCTTGTCCTGTGTTCAGTTGGGAAGGAAAACACTCTGGCATTTCAACAGCCATCCTCTCTTGCAAAATGCTTCTTACAAAATGTCAGAATTTTATCTACACCATCATTTCTGTAAACTGCGGGTCTCAACCCATGAGGAGATCTTAAAAACAGCTCATGAGTCACAAATAGCTTTAAAAGAAGGTATCACACTATATAGCAAGAGTAAACACTATTTAATGAATCACCTTTGGGAGACAGTCTATGTATGTGGGTATCAGGGGATGTTGTAACATGCATTTCTTATTGTGGACTGTGGTCAAAAAAGGCTTAAAAGTCACTCATCTAACCAAGCCGTCCAGCTACCCAATTACCCGATTACACATACTTTTTTTTTTTTTCCGAACAAAGGCATATTGTTTGGCATAGGGTGTTTTTAAACAGAAACACAAAGGGAATGGAAGCCAGAGTTACTTATGGTACAGGATGGCCTTAATTACACCAGTGAATGTTCAATATTAGCACAGCCCAGTCACAGGCAGCCAAAGCACAAGCCTGAAGCCGATTCCAAACAAGGAACACGACAGAAACTGGTACAGCAGGAAGTGGGAACCTGGAAAAGTAGTCATCCCTGCTTGATGCTTGGGGTGCACATTCCCAAGAGATTATTCCATATGGTCCCCAGGACTGGCGTCTAACAATTCCACGCAAAGAGGTAAGGAAGCAGGCGTTCACTTGTAAAGGACTGAATCTTTGAGAGGTCTGAAATACGGTTCAGCCTCTAACTCTCTGGCCAAAGTCCAAATGTGCACATCGAAGTGAAACATTACAAGTGCACTCAAAAAGCAACAGGGTGGAGCTCGCGCTTCTCAGAGAAGGCAGCCGGGGCCCGGGAAAGGGCTCGGGGACTCGGAGAAGAGGATTCTGCCTCGCCCAGGGGGCTGTGTGAACACAGTGAGAGGGGGTGGAAAGGCGAGATGCCCCGAGCTGGGCTGGGACGAGGGCTGGCCTGGCCGCACGGATAGGCTGCCTCTTTGTCCCAGGCCCTGCCCAGATGCCACGTTGAGATGCTCAAGGACAAATGGGAAAGTTTTTCCTGTACTCTCATCTTCCTGGGCCCCAACAACCTCGCCTAGGGTCAACTTGCAACTTCCCCCTCCTCGCCCATCTCCTTTGTTTTGGCCTCTGCCCCTCCTCCCGAGACCCCCACTCGGGCACTAGCCTCTGCCCCCACTGGATCCGTAGCCTTCTTCAGCCCCACTGCGCCCGCGAACTCCCTCCCTTCGTGCTCGGCCGGCCGCTCCTGGCCCTCAGCCCACAGCGGGGGTGGGGGCGCTCGAACCCCCGCAGGGGGAGAGGGAGCCCACCCAGACCGTGCGGGCCGGGAGCCGCCCCTGCCGCGCCGCCGCGGCCCTCTGGAGGCGCAGGCCCGCGCCACTCCCGCTACAAGTGGCCGACAGGACAAGACCCCTGCTCGCGACTTCTGCCCCCCAGCTCCCCGCAGGGCAGGCGCCGCGGCTTACGTGCAGTCCTGGTTGAAAGAGAAGCAGCTGAGCGCCGCCTCGACCCCGCCCGGGGGGCCATCCGCGGCCTCGGCCTCCATCGGGGGCTCGGCCCGGGGAAGCCGCAGCTCCGAGCCGGCGACAGCCACCTCAGCAGCCCGCTGGCGCCGGCTCCGCGGGCCGGGTCGCGGCCCCCCCTCCGCTCCTGGCCCCGCCCTGCCCTTCTTCGCTCCGCCCCGTCCCCACTTCGCTCCGCCCCCACGCCCGGCCCAGATCCTCCGGCGCGTCCGAGCCAAACCCGGCAGCCGAGGGGGTGGGGTCCCCACCCTCGGCCGCCATTGGCTATGAGTCCACGCCGCCGCGCCCCCTTGGCCAATTGACGACAGCTGTGGGCTGGACCGCCCTGGTAGCGACCCGCCCCCAGCTCAGCGACGCGGCTCTCCATTGGGCGAAGGAGGGTGACGCAAGGCTGCAGGCCACGTGGTAGTGTTTTCATTGCCAGAGGCTGCGAAGCGGAAGTCCGGAAGAACCAGTGCAACTGAGGCCCGACCTGGTGGCCCTTCTGGCATCTGCGGTGGAGCTGCGGCTGAGGGGGCGGGCGGACGCGCTCCGTCCCACCCCACCCAGACCCCTGTGGCATGCAGCTCTCCGTCTATTAAACTTACCGAGGTTAGTAGCGTGAGACGCCAAAGCCCCACCCTTTTACAGAGTCTTCAAACTGCTTTGAGAAAAGCCAGACAGATCGCATGTTACCTTCACGGTTGCCCTGCTGTTGAGAACTCTTTCTACATGCCCAGCGCTGTGCTAACCGTGTATGTTATCTCTTAGAATTCCTATAAAACAAGAATATATACTTTCTGCCCAGTTTTAATAAGGAGCAACTGAACAATTAAGTAATCTGTCTGAAGTAACAGAATAAATGGTAGAATGTGGATTTGTCTCAACTCAGGCTTCGTGCACCAAGAAATTCTCCTAGGAAATTTGGCAAAACCTATCTGATCTATAATTGGGGGGGAAAAAAAGGAAGAAAATGTCTATAAGGTGGCGTGTTTGATGAAAGGGATGAGGTCTTGAAGATGGCACAATTCAAAACTCACATATTTGAGATAAATCGTGACAAGTCTCTCTTCCCAAGCTAAATTCAAGTTGCCTTGTAGAATACCCAACACACTTTATAAATCAGTAGCTCTGCTGGCTTTGGATTTATATAATTCCTGATGAATTTTTAATTCGTGCTTTTCAAGTTGAGATGGCATTTTAATTGGTATACCACAGTATTTCAAATTTTTTTTTTCAATGTTTATTTATTTTTGGGACAGAGAGAGACAGAGCATGAACGGGCGAGGGGCAGAGAGAGAGGGAGACACAGAATCGGAAACAGGCTCCAGGCTCTGAGCCATCAGCCCAGAGCCCGACGCGGGGCTCGAACTCACGGACCGCGAGATCGTGACCTGGCTGAAGTCGGACGCTTAACCGACTGCGCCACCCAGGCGCCCCTGAAATTGGCATTATTAAAATTTATTTTGTGACAAAGCTATATATACGTGTGTGTGTATGTGCGTGCGCGTGCACACACACACACACACACACACACACACACACACACACACTTTGGGAGCTTGGACCTATAATGGATGAGTGAAGCGCATTATTTTATTTAAGCTTTTCTAGTTGCATATCCAGTTTGGGTTTTCCAAAATGCAAATGTAACAGTTTGTTCAGTTCACGCTATTATTCTCTCTCAACTGATGTTAAAATAGTTTAGCTCATAGATCCGTGGATGCTCTTCAGTCGATTGTGAGGTGTTGTAGAAACTATCGTAAGTGAAAAGAGCTTCTGTTTGGATGCTTTAACTGCATCATCTTTGTAACCTCTAAGATCAAAAGTGCTTCTCACCACCCCCAGCTCAGGCATTTAGAAAGCCAGGAATCTGGTAGGCTAGGTGCTCCATTGTTTGGAAAATTCAATAAAGGACAGAATAAATTCGGTTTGTAAAGTGGAAGTTGTTATTCTCAACAGTTCGGACTTTATAGGCTAGAGTTGGGAGCTGGTGTTAGTGTTTGAGTAGGAGCGTTTCATGATAAAAGCCGTGTTTTAGGCAGATAAACTTGGCCAGGGTGTGCAGAACAGATTAGAAGGGGAAAAAGCCTCGGCCAATGTGAAATTCTAGGAGTAAAGGGATATGAGATGCAAACTATTGCATGGTAGCAAGGCTAGAAAGTTGAAGACAAACCCAAGCGAAATTTTTTTTCTGTTGAAATATATTTGACATATAACATTGTGTAAACTGAAGGTATATAGCATGTTGATTTGACATTCATGTATTGTAATATGATTGCCATTGTGGCTATAATTAGCACCACTAACATGTCACATGAAGAGCTATTTTGAGGCAATGCTGTCCCATAGAAAGGTAACAAACCAAAGAAAGAAAGAAAGAAAGAAAGAAAGAAAGAAAGAAAGGTAATGTCAACCACAGATGTGAACCCCATATGTAATTTAACATTTTCTAGAAGCCACATTTAAAAAGATAAAAAGAGCTAAGTAAATTAATTTTAATAATATCTTTAACACAATATGTCAAAAATCTCATTTTAATGGGTCGCCCATGTGAAACTATTAATCAGCTAGTTTATTTATTGTTTTAACTAATTAATTTTAACCAGCTAGTTTAAAGTACTATTTTTTTAGTGTAGGTATTTAAAATCCAATGTATCTTTTTCACTTAGAGCATATCTCCATTTAACCTAGCCACCTTTTAAGCGCTCATGCGGCTGGTAGCTATCTTATTGCCCAGTAAAGTTTGGGGAGAATAAACCACAGATAGTAGCTGATGGGGGAGGGGTGGTATAGCAGAGAAGAAGAGGGAAACGTCCACGCTGATTCCGTAGTTAGGATCGCCGTTGGGAAAGTGGAAGCTCGTGGTGCTGCTTTCAGAAACCAGATATTTGGGCAGGTATTTAGGGAGTGAGGTGAACTGAATGCTCATTGGAATTCCAGTTCAAGCCTAGAGGTGTACGTCCGGGAGAAAACTGATCATCTTTCCAGCCCCACCCTTCGTGAATGATCCCCCTTGTATGTTTCCCACTGAGTTAATGGTCCACCATCCACCACTACCCATGTGGAAATAACATTCCACGGCTGCCTCATCCGGTTTTATTTTTTCCCAAGACGATACAGAAATCTGTATTTTTATATAAATAAATTTAACATAACTATTTATTTTATATAAACCTATATTTTATGTAAAAATTTAAAAGGTTGATGACCAATTCTTATTTTTAAAAAACACTGTGAAGGCCAAATTAAATATACGAGCTGGCTGGATGTGGTTTGTGGAGGTCCAGTGTGTGACCTCTGTGTGAGGCATAATTCCCAGAAATTTACTGGCATAAACATCTAAAGAAAAGGCTGCAAATAGATTTGAAGGTGTTGGATTCCTTTAATATCAGGCTGATTTTTCTTTTTCTGAGTCCTAGTTCTAGGTTCCGTGGGAGAGGAAACTCCTGATTTATTTATTTTTTTTAAGTTTATTTATTTTGTGGGGGAGAGAGAGCGTGCACGTGCGCACGTGAGCCGGAGAGGGGCAGAGAGAGAGGCGGGGACAGAGAGAGAGGGAGAGAGAGAATCCTAAGCAGGCTGGGCACACTGTCGGCACAGAGCTGGGCTCGGGGCTCGATCTCACCAACCGTGAGCTCATGACCAGAGCAGAAAAAGAGTTGGACGCTTAACCGACTGAGCCACCCCGGCGCCCTGAGGACACTCCTGATTTAAACCCTGGGTTTATGGCATCCTAATCCTTCCACATTCTTGGAACAGAAATTTCAACACTACATAACAGGAGCCCAGGCTATCTGGAGGAAGAGGGGAATATGACACTTTACCGCAGGAAAAACAAGATTTCAGCTTTTTGCCTTTCTTCCAATTGAAATTTCCTAAATGTCTATCTTTTCTCAAACAAAATGTCCATTACTTCTGGGGAAACAGCAAGTCAGCAAAATCCGGAAGAATTTTTTTTTTTGCCTTTCTTCCAATTGAAATTTCCTAAATGTCTATCTTTTCTCAAACAAAATGTGCATTACTTCTGGGGAAACAGTAAGTCAGCAAAATCCGGAAGAATAAAGCTGAGCTTGGGAATCAAGTGTTCTTGGTAATATACAAAATTGCAGGCCACAATTCAGCTAATGGGGAGACTTCCTATTTGTTCAGCAATCAGGTTGTAATTTTAAAATGCTGATTAGGGAATGCATAGGGCATGAACAGGGGAAGTTGGAAATGGGACATCCTGTCTGATGCAACCCTCATGTCACCCAATATGGTTGCCCATAACACCCAACTGGCTATAATTAGAGTGAGTACAAGGTGAGCAAATACCACTCCTGTCCACTTCTTCTTTTCATAAAATCCATTCTGTTTTTATAAGATCAAACCACAGGGAATAGCTCCTTTTCCTTTTCTGATGCGTCTCAGCACTCGGAACGTGAGCTGAGAAAGAGTAGAACCGGAAGAGACAAGTGTATGGTGGTACTTTGAGAAAAGAATAAAGGAGGGAGATTCTGGGGACAGTGTAGAATAGGTAAGACTTGGGGGGTAGGGAGAGGGAAGGGTGATGTGTCGCAAGCTCAGGGAGTCAGCCCTACCGATCTGGGGTAGAAGGTAAGGGGTTGAAATGTAGGGTAATCTCTGGGAAAGCAGGTGATCCCGTCAGATTGGCAAACAGGAAGTGTCCGGCCAGAGGTATGGCTAAAAACAGCAGGCACAGTTGGGCTTTTTTGTTACTAATCATTGGCACAATCTGCGTGGTAAAGCACGGCTGCCATGAATGAACAGTTCCCATTATGTGCCTTTGCTCCCCAAATGGAACCATTATTTCTGGTTTTATCAATTAAAAAGCCAACAGCCGTTCTAATAGTCCTCGACTTCCATATTTCCTCTCAAGAGCAAGAAACAAGGGTACTTCTTTAAAGAGTGAACTGCAGTGTCTTTGACTGCATTCTCTTTCCCAGCTCTCTTATTTCTGCTTCCAGAATAATCTTCTTAAAACACTGAGGCAAAATTACAAGTTGTCCATAAATACTTGCCGATCGGCTGACGTTCACGA